GCTATCGAGGTTTTGCAATTTCAACAAAAAAAATGTATCAAAAATAATATCGGCTGTTTCATTTTATTTCATAATAATTATGTTAATATGCCTAACACATATTTATTAACAAGTTTAGTGCATTATGTATGAAACTGCCCCTTTATTAATCAAAGCAAAACTGGTCCATTACAGATTTATAGGGCATTAATACAGGGCCATTATGAATAAACAGGGCCATTATGAATAATCAGGGCCATTATGAAAAAACTGGGCCATTATGAATAATCAGGGCTATTACGGATTTTCAGTTGTTATCAATTTGAAAACATTTCTGGGGAAAAGAAACATCAAGAAATTGAAAGTTCCCAAGAAATATGACTTATCTCATTTGACCCAGCTGTCAAGTTAATAATTACATAATACATTCCATGATGTGTATCAATTCATTTAATTTTGAGTTTTAAAATCCAGAATGAAATCTTTTATTTTGTATGCCATAAATTCCTTTGAATAGGACAACAATACAACTATATTTACACTTATATGTTATTCCATCACATCACTTTAAAAGTTTCTGTTTAATATTGCATTTGGTATGACTATATATATACAATTTCTCCAAAAAAAAAAGTTTGGTTAATAAAAGTGTTAAGAAATGGGTGTTTTAACATTGACACTGTTATATGTCCTCGGTCATTAATAATGGCCTCGGAGGCTTTTTTTTTGTCCCTCGGCGTTGCCTCGTTCCATTACAGGCATCCTCGACCATTATAACATACCTTGGACATATAACAGGGCCAATATGAAAACACCCATTAATTAATCATATAGTTATAGTTGATTACTGGTACTTACGCCATTTTCAATGTTCAGATGAATACATAAATGTTCTCAAAAACATTTATCACTTTTTCAAATTAAATCCTTTAAGTGAACTACCAAGATTTTATATTCTTTACAAATAAAAGGTGGCGGATATGGGTATATGTTAATGAGACAGCAAGCCACTAATACAACAAAATTAAAAGTCCTCTAGAGGTCGACATATCGTCTCAAACAATAGATATAGTCCTTACAATATGTCAAGCTCCGAAGTTACATGCTCTTTGTTTGTGAGAGACTGAATACTAATCTTGTATGGTTTTGAACTACAAAAAGCATGTGTGCATTTGATTTATTTGTGAAATTTAAATACTGAAATATGTTATAAATTTTATTACAAAATCATTCTCTACGGGAGTAAAGTACCAATTCTTCTATTTTCATTAGCGTCGAACTTGTCCAATACAAGGGCTCGATCAATATCTTTATCCTTGTGGATGTGCATTAAGGCCAACCCGTTTAATTGATGTTCGGTCATTGTTGTTCATTGCAGGCGACTATTTAATATGTCAAGTTCAAAATTGTCCTGATTCTATAGAAAGTGTATGATTTAAACCAATACTATTTAATCTACGTTCATTTCAAAGCTATCCAAATAACAAAACACGTGAAGTTATCACATACGACAACCACTGACAAGGTAACTGACTTGCTAGCAGTAACTGTAAGTCAGCTCAAATATCTAATCAGCCGATATTTTCCCAAGCCGTCGTATACACTAATATCGGTGGATGTTTCTCACCGTGACATAAGCTTTAACGTCATACCAGAATGGAGACAAGACCTTGCTCGAAAATCAGAAGAAACATGTACAGAAATTTCAATGCAAAAAAAAAAAACAAACGAAACGATTCAGGTTAATTAAAAAAACTGTGACGCTTCATTTATTCGTTAACTCGTGGGCCACGAATCAAAGAATAGATGATCATCACAAAACGGCGGACGAATTGAAAAGCAGAATTTCTTGATAAGCTAGATAATCACATGCTACATGTAAAGTGCGCCACGGCACTCTTATTGGTTGTGTTTCGCTCTGATTTTTTTTGATAAACTGCATAAATTAACAGACATATATAACACTATCATGCCAAGAAATTGCCTCCGTTGAAATTTTGCAAACATCCCATAGAGCAAATTACATGGATGATTAATTTTGACCATTTGGTATATGGCTGTGTTTTAAGTGAGACGTACACGCGGGTCATAAATTAATTTATTGAATGAAATCAAATCTTTAACTACTAATGGATGCCGTAGGAGGTCGACCGGAATTTTTAGCGAGGATTTCTTGGCATGTAACAGATAGAAAACTCAGGGTGAACATTCGTAGAACCGAGACAAGGGGCAGTGGCAAATATTTCATGTATATTTTGAACACAAAGAGGATTACCCCGGTACCCTTTGCCAAAAATAATCTTCTTTTTCTTCTATTTGCCAACGGACTTTATGTTATGAATTGTAGTTTCACTTTCCATATTCGGTATTTATTCTAATTTAAGCTCCACGTAGTAAAAATCACGTGATTCAGGAATATAGTATCTTGGAGTTAGACTATTTCTTTCTTTTCGGGCGGGGACTCCAAGCAATCAACATGCATGTGTATAACGGCACTGTAGATTTTCTTATTAAATTAAAAAAGTTGCCGGTCCGGTACATGAATAGATCGGTTAGAAATCAAAGTTTTAATTTTAATTAGATTAGAGGGTTGAAAATAGAGAGCACCTTCTTATGAACTCTACATCTGAAAGGTTTAATTATTTTTTTTATTTAATTGAAAGAGAGAAAAACAAATGTAAGACAAATTGTGAATGGTCTTTCTTCCTTTCTCCCGTAACAGATAGAAAACTCAGGGTGAACATTCGTAGAACCGAGACAAGGGGCAGTGGCAAATATTTCATGTATATTTTGAACACAAAGAGGATTACCCCGGTACCCTTTGCCAAAAATAATCTTCTTTTTCTTCTATTTGCCAACGGACTTTATGTTATGAATTGTAGTTTCACTTTCCATATTCGGTATTTATTCTAATTTAAGCTCCACGTAGTAAAAATCACGTGATTCAGGAATATAGTATCTTGGAGTTAGACTATTTCTTTCTTTTCGGGCGGGGACTCCAAGCAATCAACATGCATGTGTATAACGGCACTGTAGATTTTCTTATTAAATAAAAAAAGTTGCCGGTCCGGTACATGAATAGATCGGTTAGAAATCAAAGTTTTAATTTTAATTAGATTAGAGGGTTGAAAATAGAGAGCACCTTCTTATGAACTCTACATCTGAAAGGTTTAATTTTTTTTTTATTTAATTGAAAGAGAGAAAAACAAATGTAAGACAAATTGTGAATGGTCTTTCTTCCTTTCTCCCATGCCAAGAAATTGCCTCCGTTGAAATTTTGCAAACATCCCATAGAGCAAATTACATGGATGATTAATTTTGACCATTTGGTATATGGCTGTGTTTTAAGTGAGACGTACACGCGGGTCATAAATTAATTTATTGAATGAAATCAAATCTTTAACTACTAATGGATGCCTTAGGAGGTCGACCGGAATTTTTAGCGAGGATTTCTTGGCATGATATATTTCTGGAATTAATGACTCCTTTAAATATTTTAAATTCCCTGCTAGTGAACAACTATAAATTTGAAATAGCGAGAATAAAACTTGAGAACAACATAATAATTTTCTGTGCATGTTGAATTATGTACATTTCATTTAAATTGGTATCGAAATCAATGAAACTTTGTGTAATTCCAGTATTACACGTAGGGGAAAATGTCAACACACAACGATGTTTCAATTTAAGACGTTTCCGGTCATTTATAAAGGTTTGAATGGGGGTCATTAAACATTTATTTTTAATTCTTTTCGCCCATAATTTACTTTTATTTATATTTAAGCACCTTTTTTAAACCTCTAGTCTTTACATTAATTTCATGGCATTTTTCTGTAATCTGTAAACAGCATTTTTTACCAAAGCAACTGCCTTGGTTGCCTCAACGTAAGCTTCGTCAGTGATTTGTCATTATTATTCAAATACATAAGTAAGCTTGCAAAAAATTAAGTTATTCTCAAATAAATAACACAATAACATAATAATGAATAAATCTACAATTTTATTTTAAGAAATGAAGAATCATTTATTTTCAATCAGAATTATGTGTTAAACTTTCTATTTTTAGTAGACGTATTACAAGTGTTTGTTTGTCTATTGTTATTTTAGCAGTACAGTTGGGGAGATTGTGTATATTAAACTACTTTTCATAATTGGGGCGAGTTGGCAGGACTAAATTCATCGGGATTTTACTCTTTTTAATAAGTGGGGCGAGTTGGCAGGACTATATTCATCGGGATTTTACTCTTTTTCATAAGTGGGGCGAGTTGGCAGGATTAAATTCATCGGGATTTTACTCTTTTTCAGAAGTGGTGCGAGTTCGCAGGACTATCTGCAGCAGGATTTAACTCTTTTCATTAGTGGGGCAAGTTTGCAGGCCTAAATTCAGCGGGATGAAAATATTTGTCATGAGTGGGACAAGTTGGTTAACATAAAAGGGCGAGTTGGTTGAAAGTTGGGGCGATTCGGGGGTGAGTTGTCTTCCTTTCATTACAATTATTACCCAGAATGCAATTATTGAATCTATATATTTTTTACCACATCTGTATATAAAATATTGCACATAAACAAAAAATTTGAATATATATAGAAAAATATAACATATATATTTGTTTCAGAGTTTTGAACATCAAGTTTTATTTTTTAGAATATATGTAGAAAAATATTGCATATATATTTGTACATTTTGAACATGAATAATTTTTTTTGAATATATATAGAAAAATATTGCATATATATATTTGTAAGTTTTGAACATAATTTTATTTTGAATCATTATTTTTTTTTAATATTGAAACGTTTGACGTGCCATAGTACTGTATGCCAAATGAAAGGGTGGAAATAGTACCTTATCTACTCCATGTTTATATAATGTTATCTTACAAAATACGATCAAACGAGTATATAAAGGTTACTCACGGAAATGACCTTATAAAAGACGAGACATGACAAATGTTCGCATGATATAGGTGACGTTTATAGCAGTTTTGAATTTTATATCAATTTATTATTTTGATACCTTTTCGTGCTGATACATCTGCATTTTTCTGCGCATTTGTGTCCATATTTTCCATACTCGCATTTTTTACACGACTTGCCCTTCGAAGTGTGACCAATCGGACATTCTGAAAAAGTAATTTAAATTTCAAACGCAATATTTTCAATGTTTAAATATTTTGATGGCGTGGTATTATCTAAAAGAACAAAAAAAAATACTGTCTTATTTACTTTAGTACTATATATATATATATATATTGGTTGCAAATGATACTTTTTCGTTTCATTTCCTATTTAAGTAAGGAACAAAATCCTGTTTTAACTATGTACATTCGTTTTATATTTAGACTCTTCTACTAATAGGACAAAGTATTCATTAAGGAACTCAGAAACCCTTAATCCATTTTCAGTTCAGCTCAACAATCTATAGAGCATACATTAGCATAATTATTCGTGATATACTAATTTTCTTGGATTTCTAGGTTAAAGGTAGACAACGAATTTACATGTTCAACAAAGTACCAATTTACTGTTATGATGATAAGTGTATACAAAAGTTCGGCAAAACAACGAAATCCAATATCCACGTAACTGCAATGATTCCTCAAACCACGATAATTGGAATGCACGTATTACTAAATATATGTATCCCCAATTGTCTATTTAGAAGTTAAAACAAATCTTCAAAATGGAGCGAATGTTAAAGATCTAACCAGATTTTTGGTTGTGTTCTTGTTGCTCAAACTTTGTTTTCATATTAGTGTTTTGTTATTGCAACACTTGCTATTGTCGTTTTCCGTTTTTGCCACAGTTTCAGTTTTGTTGGAATTAAAATAGTTTATTGTTTTCTATATTTTTATAAATAACACCTTGTAAAGATGTCTAAACTAGCTTATCTAAGAACATTTCAGAACAAAACGTAAAAGTCATATAAATTCATTACCTCTGTGTATAACCTTAAAGAGTATAACCAGAAAAGAATCTTATTAGAATCCCCCCTCTTATAGAGTGTGATTTTCTAATGCTGTGGCAATGGTATATTCAGTTAGTGCATGATAATTATATTTGTACAAATCTACAAAAATTATAACAAGACAATGTATTAGATGACAACATATCCGTCAAATGGAATTGTATCACTCTTTAAACGCCATCATTTTGAAGAAAAAAAATGCTTGTGCGATCTGACTTGTGCACAAAATTAGCACAAGATAGTATATATATTGCATACTGGTTGTTATTTTTTTGTAATTTTTCAGATGTATATTTTCTTCTCTCTAATGCATAAAGTCCATTTTAAACTTACCAACACAGACTCCGTTCATTTTGTAAAAATGATGACAACAGTGCCACACTGTTCTGTTCCTACCTTGTCTTGTCCTGAATTAAGAGTGCTCTTAATTAATTCAATTATGTTTAACAATAAAATAAGCAACATAATTTGATTGAGAAGTATAAAAATTACCCCCCTCCCTAGCCTTGTCAAAGCAATGCACATATAAGATGATATCAAAACATATAAACAATAAGGCTTTGATACCTTTGAAGTCCACGGACTAATACATGTATCATAATTGCCTTAACAAACAAATCGAGATAAACGCAGATATTAGACTTTACATCATAGGAACTTTGGTCACAGGATGTTTGTAACTTGAACTTTTTATAGAATTATCAAACCCTATGTATACATTAAAAAAGTCTAAATGGAAAGAATTTTGTCATTTTGCGAAATCCAGAAATACAAAAAAAAAAGGAAACTTGAACGAGTTTTACTGCAAAAATATATACGCTCTCTCTCTCTCTCTCATTTTCTTATTGACATTTTCTATTTTGTTTCCAATAAGAAAAACAACCACCAAAGAAATAACAACACAACCAGTTTCGTCTAGTAAACGATTGTCCGGCAAATCCGATTTTAAAAAATTCAAAACGTGTCGGATAAACTAAATTTTACCAGGCACCTCGAGGTAACAGCAGTCACAAACGACAAAATATTGCAAAACGACATCATAAAAAATCTAGTAGCTCCCAATAATATATCGGATTCGATCGTACATATATATATATATATATAGGTCTGGAAGTCGGATTCGACCACTCGATTCCGCGTGGACTATCCTGGCTTAAACTTAGTTACGTTAATGTAACTGTCCAAAATCTGGAATTTCGTCTCTTGTTATATCTAAATCATTGTTTGTCCTTTTAGGAGTTTGGCGTTTATCATCTTTGTCTATATTAGTTCATTCCCTACTGTTGTTGAATCTTATACTTTTAGACTTACTTAATCGGACTCTTGTGAAGACGTATCTCTCGGTAGTTCATTCTCTTAACTTTTTTGGAAATCTTACATACCCTTCTGATCTTTTGATCCAAGTTTTACAAGACCACACTAGTTGACAATATGAATTTCGGAATTTTCTGCTAAATTACGGAACGACTGTCAAATTGTTTTATTATCGTTATTATTATTTCACTCATACTATTTGTGCTGCAAATAGGCGAAGACCACAAACAATCAAGCAATTTAATAATTTAACTTTTTCCCTGAAATTGGATGGGCTATACAAATGGGAAGAGCCTTCTTCATATCCCGTAAGGTACATGTATTTTATTTTAAATGATCACATGTATGAAAGTTGTTTAGCATGATATTTTTATGTATTTAATATTGTTTTCAGGAATAATTGATAGTTAGTAAAACATGATTCAGTGGTTGTCGTTTGTTGCTATATATCATATTCGTTTTTCGTTCATTGTTTTGTACATAAATCAGGCCGTTGGTTTTCTGGCTTGAATTGTTTTACATTTGATATTTCTGGACCTTTTATAGCTGACTATGCGGTATGGGTTTTGCTCTTTGTTGAAGGTCTATCAGTGACCTATAGTTGTTAACTTCTAAGTCATTTTGTTTCTGCTGGATAGTTGTCTCATTAGCAATCATACCGCATTTTCTTATCTTTATATATACATATGTTTTAACAAACAATGTTCCATTTTAAAAGTATATATGAGCCACACTTTTTATATCCGAGACATATTCTATCAAAATATATGTTTGTGTAAGACAAAATTCCAAAAGATTAATGTGTCGTGAATATATGAAAGATGTAATTGAAAGATTTATAGCATAGTTCTCTTGATTTTCGAATTTAAATGATATTAAAAGTGGCGTCATCTTATTTTCCTATTGCCAGGCATTTCATGCAACTGTTGCAGTGAAAAAAGTTTACCTTTTTTGTTTTTTTTTAAGAAGAAAGGGAATCAAAATATTGCGGCATACGATTACATTACATTGAGGAGCAAAAAGTGTATACGAATTGCTTTACTTATAATTCTCATGAAAGGATATTAAGGTATAACATTACGAAGATACTAAAGTAAAAAAAAAATCATCGTCCCAAAATCCATTTCCTGTACTAAGACCAATAACATACCTTTGGTATACTGAACAAACTCCAGCTGGAAAACCTCTAATTTGTACAGTAGTGATGATAATAAAAATGCTTTTAAGTACTATCCATTCCATACTTTGCATGTTTTGTAAAAAAAATATATAAATTGAATACAAAACTCAAGGAAATAAAAAAAAAATAAAACTTGTGAATCATTGGACGAACATAAGGAAACAGTTTAATATATCATCATGAGTATCAAGTGTACTTCAATAAAGGTCAGGTACTTCGGGTCATAGTAACTGTATGTCGACAGCTCAATTTGTAATATTTTTAACACATGTGTAAGAGATAAATTAGTCCTGGTAAAAGGTGTCTGGGCGGACATAATTTATATTACTCGTACAAAAAGACCATGGTTACAAAATATATACTAGTATTTTTAGTCCGTTTCAGTAATTTATGTCCCCAGACTAATTTTCCTAGGATTTCATGTCCATGTCATTAAAATTCTAAGGTAAAAACGTCCAAATTCTTTATTTTACTAGGAAGATTTGTAAGGACAGAAATCATTTACATGTAAACAATGGACATTTTATTTGTTATGTTTTAATAATTTGTATAACAGTTGTGCATTAATCTTTTGAATAAAATGTATGTCCCAGACTAAAAACGTCCATGTCTTTTACTATTAGGGAAAATAGTGCCAGACATTTTTAACTAGCTATTGACTTATTTTCCTGGGGAAATTTATCCTGGGACTAACATTTCTAGATAAATCATAGTCATGGACTTGATTACCTAGGAAAAAAAGGGGACAAATTTTACCACCGGACTAAATTTACTGTTACATGTGTACCCCATTTAAAAAATGATATACTTAAATTTGTATTCAATAAACACTAGTACAAAAACAAATTTATAGGGATTGTCTTTGTAAGATAAAGTGTTTAAATTGAATAAAAGAAAGATACGAATCTATATATAATTCTCCTGTTACAAATAACCACAATGACAAACGGATATTAAAAACTTGTCAAATGAAATTACAAATAAGTGAGATGTGAGCATACATTCTAAGCCGGATCTGCTAGATGCAATAACGGTATGCTACATGTACATGTATATCAAAAGGTGCATTTTATACAACAGCAACACATCAGGAGCATGTAACTATGTGATATCGAAAGGTGTTTTGAAACTTATATAGCGGAATAAAACCCCGAAATGTAATTTGAAAATATGTAGTTGTGTTTTTATTACCTCATACTGGTCCTACGCTTTTGCCATCCGTCGTCTGACGTCGTCCGTTGACTTTTACAAAGATTATTTTTTCTAAAAATACTTTGTAAAATTTAACTAAACTTAACCACAACCATCAATAGGGTATCTAGTTTAAAAAACCTGTCCGATGACCCCGCTTGCCGACAAACATGGCCCACATGGCTAAAAAAGAACACAGGGGTAAAATGCAATTTTTATCAATTATCTTAAACACCGCTACACAATATATATATATATATATATATATATATATAGATTCTACCACTGCATCGAGTGTGATACGATATTTATCCACTCGAGACATTTAAATTTTCAAATTTAAAACGCGAGGCTCGCCGAGCGTTTTGAATATTTTAAATTTAACTGTCGAGAGTGGATAGATATCGTATCGCACGAGATTTGGTGGTGGAATCTGTTTCTCTAATGATTTTCAAACAATACGCAGGCAAATTTATTCCTTCTTTTCGAATGATCTGCAAAAAGATGTGTTCTTTCTATGTGACGTCATCAGGCATGGTCGCCTTTTTTCATGCCGTCACAATAGGAAATTCTGAGGAAAGCAAGAAAATTCGACGCCATAATCGGATTTTAACCAATGAAGAACTGAGATCAAACGAACCACACGTTGATTATATTTTTTTTTATACAATGGGTGCAGAAAGGGATAAATTGACGAAGAATTAGAGAAATATATATATACAAGTCTAAATTGAAAACAACGTTCAAACCAATGATATATATACATGGATGCACACGTATAAAAATTGCGGTTTTTATCCAACGCAATCATATGTTTGAACGTTGTTTTCAATTTAGACTTGGTTGTATATATATATATATATATATTATATATATAATGACTGAATGATAGCCAACGATAAATCTTACGGGGCGATGGATCATATATATATATATATATATATATATATATATATATATATAAAAGTCTAAATTGAAAACAACGTTCAAACCTATGATTGCGTTGGATAAAAACCGCAATTTTTATACGTGTGCATGTAAAACAAATTTCTTGGTAGAGGGGTCTAAATACAGCACAAACAACAATTTCCAAAAGTCCCCAAAAAAGTGAAAAAGTCTATTTTAACAAAACGCATTTGACTAACAGGTCGAACAACTGATGTTCTTAAACCCTGCTGACTACCATTGGCGATTGCCAAATAAATTGATCACCAGATCTAACGAAGTGGATCTAATATTAATTAAATACCAAACAGAAAACAATAAACTTGTGGAAAGATGGTATACCACAAACATGAGGTGCTAAAATTTGTACACCATATCCGGATTTCGACAATTAATGTCTCTTCAGTGATGTAAGGGATCGAAACGGTATTTGGAAGGCCATATAATTTACCTCAATTTAGGATAGACTCTTGAATTTTAAAGAGTCGAAATAGGATGAACGGATCATATAATTATAAACCCGAAGGAAAATATAATACAAGCCCAAACGAAAAAAATATATAAAAGTCTAAATTGAAAACAACGTTCAAACCTATGATTGCATTGGATAAAAACCGCAATTTTTATACGTGTGCATGTAAAACAAATTTCTTGGTAGAGGGGTCTAAATACAGCACAAACAACAATTTCCAAAAGTCCCCAAAAAGTGAAAAAGTCTTTTTTAACAAAAAGCATTTGACTAACAGGTCGAACAACTGATGTTCTTAAACCCTGCTGACTGCCATTGGCGATTGCCAAATAAATTGATCACCAGATCTAACGAAGTGGATCTAATATTAATTTAATACCAAACAGAAAACAATAAACTTGTGGGAAAGATGGTATACCACAAACATGAGGTGCAAAAATTTGTACACCATATCCGGATTTCGACAATTAATGTCTCTTCAGTGATGTTAGGGATCGAAACGGTATTTGGAAGGCCATATAATTTACCTCAATTTAGGATAGACTCTTGAATTTTGAAAGAGTCAAAATAGGATGAACGGATCATATAAACCCGAAGGCAAATATAATACAAGTCCAAACGAAAAAATATAAACAAGTCTAAATTGAAAACAACGTTCAAACCTATGATTGCGTTGGATGAAAACCGCAATTTTTATACGTGTGCATGCAAAACAAATTTCTTTGTAGAGGGGTCTAAATACAGCACAAACAACATTTTCCAAAAGACCAAATGAGTGAAAAGTATATTTTAACAAAACGCATTTGACTAGCAGGTCGAACAACTGATGTTCTTAAACCCTGCTGACTGCCATTGGCGATTGCCAAATAAACGGTTCACAAGATGTAACAAAATAGATCTTATTATTAATGCATTACTAAACAGAAAACAATAAACTTGCGGAAAAGATGGTATACCGCAAACATGAGGTGCAAAAATTTGTACACCATATCCGGATTTCGACAATTAATATCTCAATTTCCAAAAGTCCTAAAAATGTGAAAAAGTCTATTTTAACAAAACGCATTTGACTAACAGGTCGAACAACTGATGTTCTTAAACCCTGCTGACTGCCATTGGCGATTGCCAAATAAATTGATCACCAGATCTAACGAAGTGGATCTATATATATATATATATATATGTTTACTCTAAATATCAGCACAACAATGTGCAATCTGCAGAAGCAAATTTTTGTTCTTCCCTCGCCGGGATTCAAACTCATGCTATTGGGATATCGTGACAACACCGCCTGCACTGTGTCCAGCGCTCTAGACCACTCGGCCACCTTGACTGAACTAAAAATTCAGCTTTTGGTGGCCTAGTGTTACCTTTCCTTGTCAGTAGAATCTAGAGTTGTAACACAGTACATGATATATTGGGCATGAAGATGGAATTGATTGCAGATTAGCTCAATTATCCGTCGTAAAGGATCGTAAGATGCAGTCACAGAAATAATTATTTGATAAGTACGTCTAAACAAGTGACTGTAACTGTGTTACAACTCTAGATTCTACTGCCGAGGAAAGGTAACACCAAGCCACCGAAAGGTGAATATTTAGTTCAGTCTAGGTGGCCGAGTGGTCTAGAGCGCTGGACACAGTGCAGGCGGTGTTGTCACGATATCCCAATAGCATGAGTTCGAATCCCGGCGAAAGAAGAACAGAAATTTGCTTCCGCAAATTTGCATATTGAACATTGGTGTGCTGATATTTAGAGTAATTATGAATATAATACTAGTATGTGTTTTCAACCGTGTATCACCTTCATTGCTGATCCAATGGATGTATCTGTCGTAGAGTTGTCACTTGTTTTGACGTACTTATATATATATGTATATAGATAGAAAAAGTCTGACAGTTTCAGAATGATGTGATCTATCTGCTGTCTATGAAATCAAGACTATCAGACGGCTTCTTATAGGATTTATTGACCTTAATCGACAGATTTTACCATTTTATTTTTAAGAAAGTTGTGGTTTTGGTGTTTTGTATTGTATATCACGGTATGTGTGTGTCTAATTGTGTGTTTGTGTGTGTGGCGGTGTGGGGGAGGGGGTCAAAGCATACATGCACATGTCTTTAGGGAATCAAGTCAAGCAAATAAATCAAGACAATATGTCTGCTTCATTTCAATTCTGACACACTTTAAAAAAATGTCTGTTTTCACAAGTAAAAATTCAAGATGGAAACTTTAACATGCAAAAATGATCTGCAAGACAAGAGTCTTCATATAAGTCAAATAAACTAAATCGTTAGTCGACTCCTTAATGAAGTTATTGTCCTTTTATAACGATTTTCCCCATTTTTTTGGCCGTTTGACCTATTGTCTGAAAATTCTAAAATGGAAAGAAAGTAACCATGGTAACGTTTGATGGCAAACATTATCAAGAAGACAAGATCTACAAATAAGTTAACATGACCGAAATCGTATGTCGACTCCTTATTAAAGTAGTTGTACTTTAGTG